TTTCAGGACCTGCAATACAGGACTATAACCTAAATTTTTTATCTTCGACCTTTCACATAGGAACAATGGAAAACCATGCTTTGAAGTTTTCTTCTTCAGGGGCAAACTGGGATTTCCAGATTGCCCTTGAAAAAGAAAGGTCCACCTTTTAAAAGTGCTCGTGTTATAAGGTTTTTTTATGATCTTGTATCAAGACTTCTTGAACCTACATGTTTTTCTGACATCATGAATGCTTTGAACTTGTTAATAAAACATCAAATCTTTTCATTTTTCAGTAGCCACTTTTTGTTTATTCATGGTCAATTTCATGTTCTTAGAACAAACAAAACTTAAAATTAAGAAGACAGATATGTCATATGAAAACTAGTGAACATTAGAAAAAACTTTAGATTTCCAATTTAGTTAATTTGAGCACAATGAGTAACATTTTCTATAACACCATGCCATAAAGCAGCATTTCCCATTGTTGTTATTAAATTGTCTTTTATATTTTATACTATTTGTTACATTAATACATTGTTTTTTCTTTGTACAATAATAGTCCTATGAGTAAAAAAAAGCAGAACAGAGAGGTATTACGAAGATTGTTCCAGAACCTTGAGTCCCAACAGAAAAAAAGGAAATTTTGGTTGTAAACAGATTTCAAGGTAAACTTTCCTTAATGATTTGAAGTTTGGCAAGTCTATCTTTTGACACCATGCTGTTTTGGAAAAATGAAATTCTTTAATATAAACATGCTTTTAAGTTTAATAATTTAAACTAAGAAAAGTATGCCAATGCTTATCATAAAACTTACTTTTATTGAGTATTAGTTTATTTGCTTAATATGTTGAAAGGTTTCCATTAGATTAACAAATTGTTAACAGAGAGATTTAAAAAATAAGAATCAATGACAGAGCTCAACTAAAAATGTCAGTTACTTTTAAGATAAAACTATAGGTTTAATTTTTTGTTTCTTCTGGTGATTGCTAAATGTATGTATTCATGCTATAATTGTGCCAGAAGATTTCGTGTTGAAATGAGTAAACAGTTAACACTTTGTTTCTCTCCTGAAATTTCCAAGGTAAAAACATGTTGTTCCAGAATGAGTTCTTAAAATGGTTTCTATAGATCAAAAAGATGGGCAACTCAAAATTCTACATACTTAGATATTTTTCTCTACCAAAGTGTATTTTGGTTAATTTCCAGTAAAGATGATCTATAAAAATTTGATGAACTGTAAAATTGGTATTTTTATTTCTAATTTTCCAACATTATATCAGACATATTTAAGTTAAAAAAATCAGAATGAATCAAGAGTAAGGAGAAAATAATAAAGATACTAAAGTCCTATCAATTACTGATTTACTTACTCTACCAAGGTTGACTTGTGATATCCAGCCACTTTTTGGGCCAGTCATGGCCTAATTGTTAGTGTGACCAGGTTATGAATCCAAAGGGTTTGTTTCATATGTCATTGCTGTATTCTGCACTTTGGAACTATGTGTGCATATAAAATTGATGGTTGAATTCCACTATTTGGTCAAACAAGAGTAACTCAAAGGTTGACAGTGGGTGCTGTTGACTCTTGTCTATCAATTAAAAACACTAGGGACAGATATGCACACTTAGCTCTTGTTAAGCTTTGCTGGAAAGTTTTGAAAGTATGTGTTGAATAGAAGTGTATAAATGGTTCAGTGGTATGTCTGTGGGTTAGATACACATTAATAGATTTTAATGCTGTTCAGTATAACCATGGGATAACTTTTGGAAGTTTTTAAAGTGCTACAGTGCAAGATAAGCCTTTATATTTGTAAACTTGTTTTATCTCCTTCCATTTTTCATCCATCCATAGTTTACTTTGAGGAAAATATTAAAAACCATTGTGAGCAAATCATCTTTTTAATCAAATATTTTTTTTTTAAACATTAGAAAGAGAGATATCAATTAAGAATAATATTGTTTCACCTGTTCTAACTGCTTGACAAGCTTTTACACACAAAACAATAATTACTTGAAACAGGAATTAAAGGATGCAAGTGTTGTTGTTGTTGCTTTTTGTTTCATGGTGGTATTATGTGATTTAAAACACTAACCTAGAGCCCGAGTGCTTTAGGGTTAATCTGATTGATTCTTGTTTCATGGTGCTATCGTACAATTTAAAACATTAATCTAGAGCCTGAATGCTTTAGGGTTAATTATCATATCATATTTCTTGAAAACAATTACATCCATGATTGCTGTAGTTGGTTATTGTTGCATTTACTGCTCTTATACTCATAGTTTCAATTAGTAAGACTCCTTAGAACTTTGGTTGCATGCTAAACATTTAACTGTAGATAGGCATGTTATAAAAATGTGAACAGAACTTAAACTTAAGATGTTAGATATGTTAAAACTGTAGTGAACATGGGGAAAATTTTTCAAATTTCCTTAGCTTGATCCCAGTTTATATTTTCTATAACATCATGGATCACATAAGCATTTTCTAGTGTGTGTTTTTTAAGTTTTTATTACATTAGTATATCATTTGCACAATATAGCTCTATGGACAAAAAAAGCAGACCAGAGAGATATTGTGAAGCTTTTACCAGAACCTTGAGTCCCAACAGAAAGGAAGAAGATATTGATCATAAACTAATTTCTAGGTAACTTTTCTTAATCATTTGAAGTATGGCAAGTCATATCATGCTATTTTGGAAAAATGACAACTTGAAATCACTATATATGTATTTCCGTAATGTAGACATACTTAATAACTTAAACTAAAATATTGAGCCTATTCTTTTCAAAACTTCACTTTTATTAAGCTTTAGTTTATTTGCTTAATATGATGAAAGGTCTCCATTAGGTTAAAAAATGGTTGAGAGACGTCAAATTGAAAATTATGTCAGTGCCTTGGTGATTGGGCTGTTTTCTAAATGCTTGAACTGTGCAGCAAAAGTGCACAGCTCAATAAATATTGTGATTTATTTTTTATAATAGATCCAAAGGTTTCATTTCTTATTTTCTCTTATGACTGATAGATGTGTGCATTCATGTCATTATTGTGCCAAATCTAAACAGTTTGTCATCTAGGAATTTGTTTCTTTACTGAAGATTCCAAGTTAAAGGCACTTAATTTTAGTATGAGGATTTTATAGTTGGTAGAATGATTTCTGACAATCCAAAAGACTGATAATTCAGTATTCTGTATACTTGGTTATTTTTACCTACCACTATTCATTTTAGTTAATTTTCAATGAAGATGATGTGTAAAAATATGATAAACCTCAACTTGGTGGGTTTAGTTACTTCTCATTTTCTTATATTATATCAAACATATTTAACTGAAAAAAAGGTCAATATGAATCAAGAATAAAAAGAAAATATTACATTCATCTCAATTACTGCTGCACTTACTCTAAATATTTGCTTGAAAGATCCAGCCACTCTTTGGGCCAGATATGGCTAATTGTTAATGTGCCCAGACTATGAATTCAAAATGTTCATGTTTCACATCTCATTGCTACATAAAAATAGTCCGCACTTTAGAACCACATGTGCATATGAGAGTGATAGCCAAATCCCACTATGTGGTTAGGCAAAAGTAATCCAATAGTTAGCAGTGAGTGCTGTTGACTCTATCAGTTCAAAATTAGGGACAGATATACACAGATTGCCCTTGCATAGCTATACATGAAGATTCTCAAACAAAAGAAACCAGCTGTTCTAATTGTTGTGTTTAAATATTGCTGTTTTGAAAGAATGAGAATCTTCTTATATCATAAAGTATGTGTTGAATAGAAGTGTATAAATGGATTATGTAGTATGCCTATGGGTTAAATACACATTAATAGGGTTTGGTACTGTTCAGTATAACCTTTGGATAATTTTTGTAATTTATGTATAAGTCTATGAAGTGTTATAGTGCAAGGTGAGCCTTTATATTTGTAAACTTGCTTTTTCTCACTCCATCTATCAGTGATGAAGAATAGTTTACTTTAGGGAAAGAAATAAATATCATGGTCAATAAAATGTCTATCAATCAAAATTTTGTTTTGGATATTTTCTTTTTTAAAATGATGGAAACAAAGCTGTCAATTAAAAAGAATATTTATTCACCTGCTCTAAGTGCTTGGCAAACTTTTACACAAAAAAGTAAATATTTGAAACCATAATAAAAACATTTGAGTGCTTGTAGTTGCTTTTCTTATCATAGTGCTATCAGGTGATTCAGAACACTAACCCAGAAGCTCAGTGTTTTTTGGTTGCTGAATTTCTCTTTTTGTATATTTGTGTTTCCATATGGTTTAAAACACTAACCTAGAGCCTGGATGCTTTATGGTTAATCTGATTGATTATTGTTCTATAGTGCTATAATTTGCTTTTAAAACAATAATATGCAGGATCACTGTGGTTGATTTTTGTTGCATTTAGTGCTGTTATTACTCATGATTTAAATTACTAAGACTTGTTAAAGCTTTGATTGTGTGCTGGACATTTAGATTTAAATGGGCCTGTCATTAAAATGTGAACAAAATTTAGAATTAAGAATTTGGATATTTCATCTGGAAACCATTGTGAATATTAGGGGAAAAAATCTTTAGATTTCAAATTTAATTGAATGAGACCAGTTAATAATATTTTCTATAACACCGTGACATAAGTCAGCATTTTCCAATGTCATTAAATAATTTTCATATTTTTTTACTGTTTATCACATTAATATAATTTTTTCTTCGTACTTTAATAGTCCTCTGCGGAAAAAAAGCAGACCACTGAGGTATTATGAGGCTGTTTCCAGAACCTTAAGTCCCAACAGAAGGTAAGAAAATTTTGATTATAAATTGATTGCAAAGTAAATTTTCTTAATCATTCAAAGTGTAGGAAGTCTGTCTTTTACCATCATGCTATGTCAGATATATTTGCTTTCACTCATGGATTCTTAGAATTTAAAATAGTTAACTTCGAGGGATTATCCATTTTACCTTGTGCCTGACGTTTTTTTCTAGAAGTTGAACTGTCAATCTATTCAGAAATAACTATCTGATTAATGTATTATTTTTTCTTCTTCTTCTTCTTTCTTTTTTTTTTTTTTCTTCTTCTTCTTCTTTGTCATAAACTGAGGCTTGAAAACACAGTTAAAAATGATTTTGGTGTAAAAAATGATATTTTTTTTTACCAAAAATTTAAGAAACTGGAGAACATAATGTAAAAAACTTGTATAATTCTAAGCTTTACTTTTAAAGGGTTGTTTCTTAGTAGAAATGAGATGAATAACATTGTTTAATCACTTATTTCATGTACTAATAAAGCTTTGACCTACAAGCAAAAAATATTTGACAAAACATTAAAATGACGGCCATATTTCTTTTTAATATTTCGTATCCAACATGTATTTGGTCGTCAAGAAATTGATGTCGCTTATGCTAACGTGACGTTTAGATGGTACGTTTTTCAGGGGGATTGTTAATGAAAGTGTTCCAAAACATGACATGAATTTCTTGACGACCTAATATTTATTAACTGCAATTTTTTCCTTCTTCAAAACTAAAATGTGGAACTAATATTTTGTGTTAGTGATGAACAGGAGCAAAAAATTTCTGTAAACTTTGATGAATGGAAAAATTGGAGACTTGAAAAAAACTGGGCAACTCTTGTTGAAGAAGAACAAAAACAAAAAGTGGAGACAAGTCCCTCAGTGAGGTAATAACCATTAAAAAAACAAAATTGAACTGTTAATATTTTGTAAGTATTATTATAATAATGGTAGGATTATTTTTAGGGTACAAGAAAATTAAACATTTATTACACAACTTAGGTACCTATAATTAGTCAAAAATCATAACTTACAAACATGCTAAATAATGATAAATTATAAATATGATCCAATTTTATGTCTCATATTGTACTTGATAAAGCTAGTGTATAGTTCCATGCACACAACTTCCAGCTACTTTTACGTAAACGTTAATAATTATGGAAATATTAGTACATTTTGGTTTTAATTGATGAAATTTAACATTTATGAGATTTAAAAAAAAATAGTTGCTTCCTAGAACTTTAAAATGTGTCTTGATTAATTCAAAAAATATTGTGACTGCAATATATAATATAATTTGATTGTTCATTTTCCAGATTTTTCCTGCCAGTTTACAGTTTGGTTTGTCACTTTGGCAATTAACCAAAAAATACATAATTTTGATCTTTATAGAAATAAAAACATATGATCAGTTTGTGGTTTAAAGTGGTATTGCTTAAACTTCTGCCTATTGCAATTTTTAGTATTTCTAGTTAACTAGCATATCTTAGAATTTATATTTTGCCATTTTGTAGCATTTATTTAATGTAAATTGAAAATGAAAAAATATCAGGTTTACAGTTTTACACAGCTCTGAGGAGTCACATGTAAGCAAAGCACTTAATGAGCTTTTTTTTTGGACTTTTTCTACACATCTCAAAGCATTATATTTGCTTAACACGTTCACAACATTGTGCACCACCAGTGGTACATTTGCATGTATTCTGTTGGGCATCGTGTGCCACCCTGGTACACAGCATCCATAAGATATAACTGCACCTCATATCTCCAAAGACCTATATGAAAGTATTTATTTTGTACGGATGGCTATAATAAAGCCACTCCTTCCATCATGTACCACTGGTGGAGCACGGATGCCATGTTGAAAGGATAACTGAAATAAAACAAATTTACATGATTAAATCACTTTTTATTTTAAAATTACATCTAGAGACTGGCATTAAATTTTTCATTGCGAGTAAATGAAGCAAAAAAAACAAACTAACTGAGACTTCTTTCATAAATAAAAACTGTTATGAAAACTGGAATATAATAAGGATAGGAATGAAATGGAAATATAATTGTCATATTGACTAAGTGGAGCAAAAACACTAATTAGACTGTTTTTTTGAGAAAGTCATTTATGAAAATTGGAAGAAATAAAAGATAGACAATGAATATATTAATTCATTCTAATTTTTATTTATGTTTGTCATTGAAACACTCTCAGCACATTGTAGGCTTCCCATCACAATCCTTGAACTATTATCATCCACAGTAGGGATTATTTTATATGATTTCCCTTTTTTTATGATCATAAAATTGTGAAATATTCATAATTCTTCTAAAAAATGACAAAATTACTGTGAGAAAAAGAAAAAATATTAAATATCATGATCGTTGGATTATTATTATTTAAATCATAGTGTGCACCATCGTTGGTGCACTCAAGAGAAAGTTGTCAATGGAGTCATTCTGTCATAAAACATAATGTAAAGCCATAAAATTAGCAGTATCTAAGACAGAGTTTACAATTAGGCTTTACGTTTCTACTGCATAATTAGGGAAATCAGTTATACTGCAAAAGTGTTAAAAACTATCATCCCTTGAGAAAATAATTTTCAAGTTTTTATTGAACATGATTTTCCTTCGCTTCCTTTGATTTTATTAGTATAACATCTCATTTACACCCTTTTATGACATCACAGTATCTTTGAAAATAGCCACAGGCAAATTTTAAATACCATTGGATATAGCAGATTATAAACTTCTTTCTCAATGTAGAGTGAATAAAGTGATGTGAGAAGTAATTTATGGTTTTGTGGGAAAATGATTGAAAGTAGCTCTTTCAGAGATAAACAGTGTAACTTAGTGGAAAGCTTAGAAGCTTAAGAAACAAACTACAGATCTGTAGATATTTTTATAGATGCTCTTTTTGTTCTTGAACATGTTTTCATATTAAATTATATTTTTTGGAAATTTCCTCTATAAAAAGACATTAGGTATGCATAGTTAGTTTAGATGGTAGAACAGGTAACAGAAATATGGTCAGATGAGTTAGATGTGACTCAAATCCTTATTTATTTAACTTTATTGTTAAGTTTATATCATTCATATAATGTAGGTAGGTAAAAACTTGTTTATCATTGACATGTAGTTAGGCAAGGAGACACTGTTTGCATAGTAGCTTTGTCAAATAAATAATATATATATATTTGTTTATTGTTTTTTCTGAAATAGTATGTGAAAGACAAATCAATTGCACTTTTTGTTCTGTCTGTACGAAGCATAATTTTTTGGCAGAAATTTAAATAGACACAGCCAAAAATGATTATTGGACACTTTCACCAGGTTTAGCTGATGTGGTGTGAACATAATAATTCATATTTCTATTATAGTTATAAAACTTTCTGATTTCAATATGAAGAAATAAAATGAAGTTTTATTAAAAACATATTTTGAGAAAGCTACATATGGAATTTAGCTGAGACCAAAGGTTAATCCAATTTTAAGTAATGATTGTTTATGTTGTAACCAACTTTTCAATAATATTTTAGTACTCCCACCAAGAACATCGAGGGAGAAAATAAACAGGAATCAGATAAAAGGTATATATATAGAGAGAGAGAGAAAGAGAGTTTTGTAATTACAACAAAGTGCCCTTAGTTTTACAGTAATCTGTAAGAACGTGGGATATTCTTGCTAATATTTGTAGTTTTAATTATTTAGAAGTTCAACAAGTAACATTTTCTGGTGATGTAAGTCACAATATAATTTTAAAGCAAACTACACTTTGGGAGGTCAGTGATATAAACTAATGCTAAAAAGCACATATAGACTAACAATGTTTAAATACAGGTTTCAATTCAAAGCAGTAGACAGATCACAGATAGTTGATTATGTAGTTTTGTGCTTAAATTAATAAGCAACTTAAATATGTACTGTATAACTATGTGCAGTAAAGTGATATTTAACAAGCCTTGATTTCTTCTTTTTCAATCTGTTTACTTTTTATTTGGTGCTCTGAAAGAATTTGTGACTTCCTGCATTTCTTTGCACCATTTTGAATTCAAATAATTTGTTTTTGTCTTAGCAGGTCTGTGGAAGAAGAAATTGTAAATATTGAATTGACAAAAGATAAATAATCGAGAGGAAATAACTTTATGTTTTTATTTTTCTGGTTGGTTTACTTCATGTTCATGTGGAACAAAGTCCAAAATTTATTTGTTTTTTTTTTAGTTTTGTTTGTACTAAAATGGTCATTAACAACTTACTGATAAATGAATATGACTTTCAAATGCACTTTTATGCTGATCCTTACCCACGAAAAACATGAGATTATAGGAAATGTGCATGAAGTCTTGCAAAAGTTTTCATCATGGCATACTTATGGAATGTTTTGTGTTTTTTTCTGTGCAGACAGTGATAGTGTAGTTCCTAGACATTGGCATTTGTTGATTACAGATTCAGCTTCTTTTGCACAGATGTTAAGTGTATGATGTTTATAAGATTTGGTTTATCTTTCCAGCAATTGTTCTAAGTCCATTTTCAGAACAAAAATTTGGTTTCTATTTTTTTAGACAGAAAATAGAGTTTGAGAAGGATTTAGATGTGCTCCAGAGAAGACAGAAACAGATTGACTATGGAAAAAATACATTAGGCTACCAAAGATATATCACTATGGTTCCCAAGTAAGATTCTCTCATTATTTAAACTTTTATTAGTATAAAGAAAATCTAAATTGTTGGAACCTGTTATATACATGTGATATTGAGGTACACTGATATCTGTCACTAAAAGTATCAAGTATCTACAAAACAGAGGTTCCAGGAATGTCTTGCAGAGAATAAAAGAATATGAACAGCAAAGGAAACTGAGACAAACACTAGTATACAAATAAAACAAACCTTTATTCATACAACACAAAAGGTAAGTCTGAGCTTATTGGTCAGCTTTTAGTTGAGTGTTTTAAACTGGCTGCTAGGACAGAAAGCAGGACAAGAACAGGATCTGTAGTTATGAAACACCACAATTTTAAGTTAAACCAGACTTCTGGTGTGGTGTTCCACAATCTGTAGATTCCCTACGTACAAGATTATTGCCATTGAAGTATTCAAGGCAAATAAACCTACTCATACTAACTTGAACAAATCTTCATCTCCCTTTAGAATGAGTATAACCCTGTGCCAGGAAAACATGACATAGAAATAGGGCTAATCAGGTATAAGCCTGTGGATCAAACATTATAGTGTGTAACCTTTACCAAAGGTTTGATGATTTGTGCAAGTTTATGACCTTTCCTCATCCAGTTTACAAGAATTTCATAATTACATGCAAAACACCTACACAAAAATTTAGAAAAATTACCTGAATAAAGATACATCTTTCATTAATAAATGGGTAAAGTATGATATTTCTAGTCATCAAATATGAAAAACCCAGTTTTCAGATGGTTGTTATTTCAGTTAGCAAGAAAACAGACTATTGTTTCATATTACCAGTACATTTTTACTTGTTCAGATTTTATTTTCATACAGTAAAGATCACAATGAATTGTAGGAAAATTTTAAATTCTAAGCAAAAATATTTTCTAGAACAAACCGTACAAAAATTCATCCTCGGACACCTAACAAGTACTTGAAGTACAGTCGTCGAAGCTGGGATACCATGATTCGGATTTGGCGTAAACAGATGCATATATGGGATCCACCTACAGGGGAGGAAGACAACATGGACTGGTATGATTATTTGTGATATGTCTTGTGTAATTTTTATTATCTCATGTGACTATATATATTTGTTATTCACTTATCTTCAGCAAAACCTGAACTTGAGTGAAGAAAAAGGTTGTGGAGGCCTAATCTATATATTCCAATTATAACACCCTTGAGATTGGCAAGCCTATATAAATGTATGGTATAAACCATAGACTTGGTGTGTATGTGTCTTCACAGCTAAAAGTCCAGCAGTAATGTTCAATGCTTTAAAAAAAAAGTACAATTTAAGGTGTTGTGCACTTGCATGCTGTCTGTTTCAAACTACCGAAAGAAAATTCTCCACCACAACCAGGTATTTGAGTTCAGTGATAGAAAAGGGATAATAAATCTTTTGTTGTGAAACAAGATATCAAGTATTCTCTCACACATACTCCCCAGTTGAGTGTGATCTCTCCAAGATCAGTATTTAAGTCTGTCAACTCTTCCACAGAGACAGAATGTTACATTATCAGACAGGATAACATAATTTAGGAACATACTACCATGATTCATTCAGTATGGAACATGACACCCATCATCAGTCCAACATTGTTTTTCACATGTACTTGTGTGTAGTTCAATGCTCTCTTCTTCTGGACTTTGTTGAGGTGACTGATGTGATACTGTTGGGCTGTCCAGTGCTTCCCTTTGTATCAACAGTTCGTGTGTCTTCAAATTTAGCTTAACTGGATTGTTATTTGTTTTGAATTCTGCATACCACAAAACAGCTTGTGCTTTTTGCCAAGAAAGTCGCCATTTTGGTATTATTAAAAAAAACAAAAAAAAAACTAGTAAGCAATAATAAAACTTGAGGGTTTAAAATAATTTATTTTACCAGATGTGTAATTTGTTTTGTCTTTTCTTTTATTTAAAAGTTACAAGCATTTGTAGACACTACATGTTTCAAAGCCTTACAATTTGACATAACTAAATGAAAACGACTTTATTTTATTTATTCTGTATATAACTATTAATTACATACTTTGATTCCTGTTCTAACAGTTTTGACATAGACATAGCAAATATGTCCTTTGAATCCCAAACAACATCAGTTTCAACTTCATCTGGTAGAGCCTCTTTGGAAGATTGCTACAGTCCAGAGTTTGGCTCCAAATATGAAGACAGACTGAGCTCAAGGAACGATGATGTCCTTGACTTGGTGCCATTTGAGAAGAATATTACCGAAGACAGTGTTTCTAGTACAAATCCATCTTTTAGAAAGCCTCAAGACATTTTTGGGGAGTTTGATTTAGATGCTCATTTACTAGAGGAAGATTTCATTGATTTTTAATATTTTAGTGGTTTTTTTCTTCAATTTTTTTATTTTTATACATTTGTTCTTATTTTATTATAAATGGTGACAAACATTTTTGTGTTAAAAAATTTTAACATTTTTTGTGTATAAGTTCTGTGAAACTGGTCGAAAATTAACAAAAGTTATGTGATAGTAACCATACCACTTAACTTAGTTTTTCTGTCTAATTGATTGTTAACTGGTTGTGGTTAGAAGTGTGATACATTGATAAGAGTTATTCACTTTTTATTCCTAAAAAAGCTTAGTGTTTTCCCACACACTACCATTTTAATAGGATGTTACAGACCTAAAGAAGAAATGTCACATTGTTATTAATGAGTTAGTGTTCATTACAAATAAGGAAAATTAGTTAGTTCTATAAAAGATTTGTTTCAATTTATAAAATTTGAGATAGTTGTGCAAAGGTAAGTAGAAACGTTTCTCTTGATAAAATTTTGTTTAAATGTGTGCTTTAAAATCATGATTTTTTTTAGGTGTGGAACTATTAACAAGATCAGAAAATAAGTTTTCAAAGAAGCCTCCATTAAACAAAGTTAAATCATAATTATCTAAAGGGTAAATGTCAGTTACAAAAAAAAAAGTTTCTTTAGTAATTAAATCAAAAACATTAAAATTTCCTTAAAAAAAAGAGAGGGAGGAAACCTTTATAAATTCCATGTAGAAGTAAATAGCTTAACAGTGTAGTTTCAGTTAAGTTCTATTGCTTGCTATTATTTTAGAATGGTATGAATAGCTCTCAGAAATCATTTGGTATAGAGTTTCTTTGCCCATGCTTTATTTCTGTGGATACTGGTTTTGCATTATTGGCAAAGTTTGTTTGTAACTATTTCTATACCTTGTGTTTGAGGGTATGCATTTTATTTTACTTTTTATATAGATATTTTATTTTGAATATCCGGGTCAGTGTTTCTTGTTTATGGAACTGTTTAATGTAATTATAAGTAATAACTAAAGTACATTAGTTGCTTTGTGGAACTACTGAATTAAGATGAAAGATGAGTTTATACTTAAAATTTGCAGATTAATCTTTTAATGGTTGTTAATGAAGTTAAATTAGTTGAACTGGTTTGATACTTTAGTAAATGCAAACAAACCACAGTATTATGCAAAAGTATGCACCTTAAATACATATGGCTGATGGTAATTACCTCAAATGTTATGAAATGCCTTTTTTCTTAGATTAATGTGAATGTTATGGATAAAATATTTGTAAAACTTGTCTAACACTGTCAAAGACTAATAAAATATTTGTTAAACTTGCTTCTTAAGAACAAATAGGAATGGATAGGCACTTGCGCAACTTAATACATGATATTGTGAAGAACTCTTTCATTTTGTAGCATAGAATAGAGAATTTGATTTCTCAAATATATTTCCAGTAATTATATGTAATAAAGATAAAGGATGTTTTGCATCTAAATGTGGTGTAAAGAGAAACCTTTTAATTTCATGCTATTAAAAATATCATATTTAACCTTAATCCCAAATTTTCATTTGTATGTTGTTTGATCAACTTCATTGTATATGAAATGGCTGAAATTTGTACTTTGAGAAATAAAATCATTAAGAATGAATGTCTGCTCAGATGTAATTATTTTGTACAGTGCACATGTTAGCTTTCAAATGCAGTCAAATTAAAGAACGTTTCTTATGTCTTATGATGAATTTGAAAGCTTTTTTTGATAGAATAAACAGTAAAGAGAACTTAACACCTTACTCATTCTTATTTTAGTACTTCTGTAAAAAATACTGGTATTGATCTATGGGAAGGTAATTTTCACAATGAAGCAATTAAAGTGTAAATATCACTGTAAAAGTATTTTCAATGATGAATTTGTATTAGTTTGTTGTAAACTGCCAATTAGCATGCAAGTTTGAAATTGTAAAGGATAAAAAAAATGAGTAACATTAATATAATACTGATAAAATGCTGAAATAGCAATTCATATGTTACATCAAATTGGACAAGAAATGTTCACTCTGTTGGTATTATATAATACATTTGAATGTGAATATTGATACACTAATAACACAGAACCTACAAAAACATTGCCTATAGTAGATAAATTATAGTAAACTAGTGATGAAATTTAGCATTTAATTTTTTAGGAAGTACTGGCAACAGTACAAACATTGTCAAATTTGGATAGAAAAGCAACAGTAAGAGAACATAAATTAGGGTTTTTTACAGTGTGAATGTCTTCAGATCTTATGATGTACCTTATGTACTCATCTCTTCAAATACATTTCACACAAATTTGAAGCTAAATTGTCACATTTCTATAGATTAATAATTCAAACTCATGCCTGAAACTTCTTAAAAGACTACTTTCCACAAACAAGTATGATGATATTAAATAACTAGTAATTATTCTTTATTTCACATTTTTGTTTAAAATATATTAAAGCTTTACAGCTGATATTTTAATAACGTCACTTCAAAGTGGTTAAAATAACACTATTTCTATTTTTTTCTGTAAAGAAATTTTTAGGGGGGGGGGTGATTTCCACTGAAGTTTAACAATTAGGAAATTAATTTGTAAAGTTGAAGAGACAGTATTGTTGACTGCTTCCTACTACCAAAATATAAACTAAAATTATGTTTCAAATGAATGTTTTAGAACTAAAAATGTCAATAAACTTCCCATGTGCAAGTTAAATTTTCAAAAGTCCAGTTAGATTTAAATACTTCCCCAAAATGCTTTAACTGTATACCTTGGAAATATAAACAAACATAAATTATAAAAGAAAAACATTGTAGTCATCAGTATTTCATGTGCAAGTTTTTAAGGGTAAAGATAAGTACTTCCTAGAAATTCAATTACAAAGATTTATCACTTGTGAATCAATGCTATATCATATAAGTTTCTTCTACGTGTATGATACATATAAATCTAATATACAATTTACTCTTAATAAAAACAGCAAGAGAAAGTGTATGAATTCACTATTAAACACAAACATGTCCAGTCTGCTACTTTATTACTGATAAGTCATTTATTGAAATCTATTTTGCATTTGACAATCAATAATGACAAAGATTACATTTTGGATTTCTCAGAATCATATTTGCTAAAAGAACCTGTACAAAGGATGAACAGTTATTCTTTTTGAAAGAGGAAAATATTAAAACTGATAATACATTTGGCAAAACTATCCTGAGGTGTACACTTACGCAGTCTTTGAAAGATTTCAATAGTAAGCTCTTACTTTTTAACTGGAAGAGCTATCTTTAAAATTAAGGTATGTCATCATACAAGTCTTGGAAAAGCTATATGATTATTTTGGAATAAGACAGTTTTACAGTATTAAATGTGAACCTATTGATCAGTTTTCCTTCCTACATAACTGGAAGCAACATGGTCCTAAATCTGAAATTATATTTAAAATAAAACATTTCTGTAAAGGAGAATTATCCACAAAAATATGAATCTTATTATTTAAATAATGGTAATAGAACACAAATTAAAGAAAATCACCAAAGTTATATTATTGAAAAATATTGTTTTCTAATTGAAAAGTCAGAATGAATTTGGAGCATTCTTTACAATTTTGCATGAAACTATTAGGTTTCATACCAGATAATCTTTCACAAAAGTAAAAAATATGAGTATAGGAGGTAGCTTTGGATTCTCTTCAAGCTATAAAAGCTAGCTCCTATAAAAGTTTTAATATCCCAAAGTGGTGTATACCCATTATTTCATATTTAATATTGTGTAATAACACCCATATTAAATAGGATGTCAATTCAAAATGGTTTTTCAATTGAAAGTAATCAAATAAAATATTTATCTCTTAAAAACATATCTTGAACTGAGAATCAAAATGATATACATTTATTAAGTGCAATAAAATGTGAGATTCAAAAGACTATCTTATTGTGTTGATTTTTATTTTTTTAAGTTTTATTTGCGGAACGTGCACGTTAAAAAAGGTAATTAAAAATTATTTTTTGCCTGAAAGAACACATCTCTTCTGATTACACACTTCTCTCCACAGATTCGTTTGAGTCATCAGTTCAAAATATGCTACTGATTTGTATGTTTTCTATGAAAATATCTACCAACTTTATTTATGTACTAAGAAATCTACTTCAGTGAATTTAAAAAAAATTGAGTTACCTTCTTGCATATAGCAAAACAACAACACAAATAGAAAATCACAGCAATAGAGAATATTGCTGGTATGGCCTCCTTTTTTTTTCTCTTTTTTTTTCTACAAAAATTGGAAGTTTTTATTACATACCCTAAGCAGTTATTACAACTGCATGTCCCATTTTTAATATTAATTAAAATTGCTGCCTTATTACAATTTATATGATAAGGTTATAAATAAGCTTAATCCTTCCAGCTGACATTAATATTATATGACAAGGTTATAAGCAAGCTTAATCCTTCCAATTGACATTATTATATGACAAGGTTATAAGCAAGTTTAATCTTTCCAATCCACATTAATACTATACGACAAGGTTATAAGCAAGATTAAACCTTCTATTCCACATTAATATCATATGACAAGGTTATAAGGATGCTTAATCTTTCCAGTCCATATTTAAATGGATAGAAAATTATAATTTAATATTATCATAACAACTTGAAAAAGTTTTAAAAACATAATGCAAGCTATTGTTGAGTTAAAAGATTCATGAAAATTTAACCTATAAACACAAAAAGAATGTTGAAGCATGATGTTAAAAAATGAAACAGTCTGTGGACACATTTATTCCAACGAAAAGTCTGCTGAGGGAATTACGTATCAGACATTTACTGTTTTTGTCTTTTAACGAATTTTCCATGAAAAAAAATCAAAATGAAACAGAACACAAAAAATCATTATTATTACCACTACTATCAATATAAATAAATGATTACATTAAAGACTGAAAAAAAATATCTTGACTGATTTGCACATTCTCACTGTCATAGAAGGACATGAAACTTTTTAATAACAAAAATTTCAGTACAGTATTATATTACCTGAACACAACCAATAACAGTTCCATCAGTTTGAACTTCTGAAAATGAAACTGAAGTAATCACTTCTTCTATTTTAGGTGTAAACGTTGCTGTAATCTCTTCTCACATTTATTGCTGCAAACTATCATCCTATTGCAAGTTCATAAGATGTATTTTCTTTAGTAGCTAGTAATATATTTGGACTGAGCATAACTATATTTGACAAAACAAGACTTAATAACTTATCAAAACATTAACATTAAGCAGTAGAAAAAATCTAGACTTGTAACCTACATTAAAATGTGTCAGAACTGTTTGTATCAGGTGACAGACAAACCATATTCAGAAGGATCAGCTTTTAATACATCTTAACTGACAGCTGTAAAGCAGTTTGATATGTATTCTTAATTTTATGAACTCTACAAACATGATACAATACTGTATTCAATGTTTATCATTTCTATTTCAATTTACAAGAAGGATAATAAAACTACCATGCATAAGTGAGTGATGTGGTTATTTTTGTGTATACCAGTAGGAGACTTAAAAAATAAGATGCTAACAATATTTGTGCATAATCATTATCTCCTTGTTTGTCAAGACAAAAGCTGTAGTTTTGTATATCAAGAAACAACTGTCAGGCTGGAATTTGTACCACTTGTTAACTTCACTGAACATAAAAGAACAACAAGAAAACTGATCACCTTTTAGGAATTATTTGACATTAACGCATATTGTATTTGATGATTACAATAACACAACAAATACATATATCTATCCTTGGCTCATGAAGCAGGTTATGAACTTTCACATTTATTGAGTGCTCCTGTTTTTTTAATCACTTCTCATACTGATCAAAATAACCATTCTACATTTTCTCCATTTCTGTGACACACAAACACATATGCAAAACAGGTGCACAAATTCTTGAACTGAAAAATAACAGCAACAACAAAATATACGGGAATATTTATGGAGAAAATATCCAATAACAAACCTCTACCCACAATAATAGAACATAACCTCTATGTTTTACTCAGATGTAATCAACCCTATCATTTAACACTAATTCTTCAATAATCAAATGATAGACTACGCAATAAAACTTAACATGAGTGCAACAAAGCACTGCACGTATATATAATACCAACATTTCATATGACATGAACATATCATACACTGGTGGGCTGAGCTTGGCTGGGATTAATCTTAGGAAAATATTGCATGTTAATATAACACAGTTGATTAATTTGTTTCCAAATATATCCAAACTTTACAACATAAAATAAACGTAAACCTTAACTACATCTTTTATCCCTTACACAAAAAATATTTACTAAAGCAAGCTGAGGGAGTCAACAACTTCTATATCTTAAAAATTAACCCTCTTAGATATTACAAAATGTTGGCAAATTAAATTGACCATTAGCACATAATTTTGTTTTTCGGGCAACAGTTCTATTCTTAAAAATCCTTTTCAACATTATCATTTGAATTATTATTAATAAGCAGACTTTACGAAAGCTCTGATGTGGGGGGGGGGGGGATTACAAGAGTAAAACTATTATGATGAAATCCCCATTTAGTATGATTATAAGTGGTTAAAACTAGGGATATAACACCCTTGTATGGTCCTAACTTCATAAAAGAAATTTTAAAACTAAAATTATTCACTGCTTTAAAGAGTATTACCTTCTTTCAGGTTCCTATGTTTTAAATTTGCACATAACAGGTTTAAACTAGAATTATATTGTATATGTATGTAACTATGCTAGAAATTTTCATAAATGTTCATTTTTGTTAATAAATATATATTTTTCTATCTATCAAAAATTTTTAGTATATAGACCTGACATGTAAGTAAGAGAACATGGCTGACAAATACTTGCAAGACACAAATACTGATACAATTGTATGGTGTATCATGCCTGATAATTACTGACAATCATTGTCAATTTTGGTACTTTTTGTGCATATTAAGAATATGTTTTGTCTGAGAGTTTTTATATTCTCAGTTATTCACACAACAGCTATCTGTACATAGCCATCCCTGAATATTAAACTGACATATTAGACAGAAAACTGCTAGTCAACAACATACACCACTATCTCTTGGACTACTCTTGTCTGATCAAGTGGTGGGAACAGCAGAGTATAATTTTTGTAGTAACAGGTCATGAACAATTAACTCTTGGATTCATATTTTTTCAAAAATGAGAACCACTACACCACTCTTAGCCCCAGGATTAAGTGATAAAAGTCTAGAAAGTGTTTACTTCTTCCTTGTTATTATTCAAGTGTTATCATTAGAAGGTAAAAAAAAAATCCTTGTAAGCCTAAGTGAAATATCTGCTAAGATTTTGAAAATATTTGAAACATTAGTATTAGGCCTATTATATTTCTTAAAATTATATTCTTCATCTTGAAATTCTCTAAGGGACTAGATAAAGAATGTACTATTAAAAATATAATAGGCCTAATACCAACATCTTATGATACATACAAATTAATAATATTCATGCTTTGCCAGCTTGACACAGCATGGTTTAGTGGCTTTGGATTCACAGTTGGATAGTAAGAGTTCAAGGCCGGCCCTTGTTATACTGTTGTGTCCTTGAGCAAGGCACTTTACTTAATTGTTTCAGTCTAACCAGCTATATTAAGGGTACTAGCTATTAGCTGTGGATTAACTTGCAGTGGATATCCCATCCATGAGTAATGTATTACCATTCTCATCTGCTTATGCCACTTAAAACTGGAGATCGAAAGCAGTGGCCTTTTGTGCCTTACAAAACAAAGTACAAATTTAACTTAACTTCCCCAACTTGGAAAAGGTTTTTCATGTCATATTATTTGAAACAGTTAAAAGTTATTTAAGGGTCACGAATAAGTATCCAGGTCATTTGTATCTATTCATCATGCTGAAATATCTGAGATTACAAAAATAATCAATAATATCTTTCAAATGAACTGACAAACAGAATACCCTATATCAAATTAACAATCAAAGATTCCTTTTTTCTTGGTTCAACTTAACAAAATTTTATATTAATATTAAAAAGAACTACATTTACATATAATTATGACTTAACAACTGAAATTAAAAGAAAACCTAAAGAGGTAATTAGAGAGCATTTCCTTAGACTATTGCATTTATTGATTTCTTGTTGTATTTGTACATTGAAGAATTTTAACAACTTAAACACATACCCCAGTTTGACTTTTATTTTCAGTGCACACCAAAAAAATTTTTAAAACTGAATTAAGTAACAAAATACCACATAAATAAATTTGCCAAAGTCGTGCTACTAGTAGTCAATTATTCAAGTATGATGCACAAGTAACGCACATATGGTGTGATGATCAGATATCAATTGTTATCATGGTTAGTAGCCTAAATACACCTATTAATTAGTAACATTGTTTTGTATAAGTAAATACTAAATCCTACTAAAATAACAGGTTATGAACCATACATGAGAAAACGAAATATAAAACAAGCTTTCTACATCTACTTAATTGATAACAAATTCAAATCAACGTAGCATAGAAGTCACTAAAGCCTTAATGCTACATTTGGAAAAACATTAAAATAATTTGCTAATTCATGTTTTTAATGGGGAATATTCCAGTCAACGCATCAGACTTCTTTCAAGACTCAGAACCGAACACAGAAATAGTAATTTTTTGGAACTTCCCTGAAAGTGACATGTAGGATAAAACTACAGCACACTTCCACTTTTCTATAGTCACTTAGCTTACATCACCCAGAGTTGGTTGGATTGATTACTGTCACCTTTTGTATGGTAACTAGAAACTGTCTGATGATATACATAAATTATTTTGTTTTAAGAATTTTGCCCAAGAGTGAGAGAAAAAAAATACCATGAAATAGACTTTTGGCTTCCATCACCCATAGTTGGCTGCCTCGATTACAGTAATTGTTTGCAAAGTAAGGGGTATGATCACCCAGTGTATATAAATTATAGTTAAAACATGAGTTTCAATTTAATTGAAACAGATTCTTTAAATTTCACAGTGTCTAGGTTTCAGTTTCTTTCAGTCATCCACATGCAAAAAAAAAGCAACTTGTGTTTATGAAACACCAATGCCCCATTAAAGTCACTTATGTTTAAGTTCCTTCAATTTAATTGACTGATCACCTTCCAAAGTTAACCAGGTCTAGAAATTTGTATGTAGTACCAATTATGTAAATTTTGTTGATACGTGTATTGAAATATCATGTTGACACGGTTAGGGAACATTTTCTATGTACAAGTGACCTTTTAACTTTGACCTTTAACACACGAGTAGGGACATAAAAATTAATGAAGCTGACATAATATTTTCTTTACATAAACAGGTACTGAAGGACACCAATCATAATTAAATATCACAATATATTTCTTAAAAATTTTAGAAACAATACATGCATTTTAGAGGGTAAAATCTGCTGTAACCATCACATAATAAGTAACAAAAACTTCAAATAAGGTTAAGAACAATAAAAGTCTTTTTTAAAGTGTACATAAAATGGGCATTTTCTGATTACAATATGATAATCATACTGATATCTTGACCATTGCAGCACTGATCGACATGCAACTTGCACAAACCATAAACAGACAATGCACTACTATGGGCATATAATTAGAGTTCAGGGTAGGTTCGTAGAGATCGTGATTAGTAATAAAATTGAATTAAGTATGCGTGCTCCCCACGCTTGGTATTGCTGGTGCACAAAAATCATAATCGTTAGTTGAAATTCCCCATTATGTTTGTTTGGTTGTCAAGGAGACACACTGACGCAACATCACAAAATTTTGTCCAAACAGAACCCTTGGCTATAATTCTATAATAACTCACGTTTTACCCACAGCACAGTTCAATTTTGAAAATGCCCAAATTAAAGCTTGCTTCTTCAGCTCAGCAGGCTAACAAAGCCAAAACAGGAAGACAATCCAAACAGAAGACCCTGAAAATGACTGGCATTCAGCTTGTATGTATGTATGTATGTATGTATGTATATGTGTGTGTGTGTGTGTGTGTGTGTGTGTGTGTGTGTGTGTGTGTGTGTTATATATATTGATGAAATACACATCTACATATTTTGGCCTAAATAAACTAATTTTCTCTCTACCCTATTTCTATTGTAAACTTCCTTTCTGCATGCATTCTGGCATGCTGAGTGTTCTCTGTTGGAATGCACTTATGTTTCCTTATGCAGAAATATTAAGTCATGAGAAGGGAAATTAACAAGGAAATCCTATATTGGGCAATGCCTCATTGTAATATTCTGTTAATTCATATCCTAGGCCTAACACTAAAGTTACTAAGTTTTTACATACTGACTGGTAGATTGAAATACTCTTCTACATTTCGTTTACACCCCCCCCCCATAGAAGAAATCAAGTGTTCACAGTATTAACAACTGCATTAGTCATTAAAATTTTAAAGTACTGTTAGTTTTATTACAATAATAGTTCACAGAAATGATTATGTAAGTGAATGTTAGTGTTTTTTACGTTATGAGCTGAACAAGATACAGTACGAATACTTGGTGCAAAAATTCCAAACCTCCTCTATTGCAGCATTTCTCAATCACCGGTTCACAAATTGGCACTGGTCCATTGCAACTACCTTACTGCTCCATGGAATTTCACACAAACAAATGAAAATACAGACCATTCATATGTAAATTGTAATGGTTTTTCATTGTACTGGTACTTTAGTGGATGGTTACAGTTAAGGAGGCAATGAGTCAGTCCCTGGTATTGAAAAGGTTAAGAAACACTGCTCTACTGGATGTGAGAAAACATTAACCAACATTCATAGTAACACTGAAGTTCTCATCAAAAAAAGCTTGTCTATTTTAAACAAATGCCCCACTCTAAACAATAACACAACTTCTTTACAGATAAGCCTATTATAAATATCTTTAGCACATTGTCAACTATACAGTGTTATTTCTATACCTCCCCTTCTTTACCACACTAGTTTCGTAATATAATAGTTAAAATTTTTTTATTTCCTGTTTAAATCTTGCTGGTTGTTGTTGTTTTTGTTTGTTTTTTCTTTTGCCTTATGCTACTATAAATGTTCCAACTGAATGAATATGTGTATTTAATACTATCGATTAATTAATACAGTTGCTGAAGATGGAATGTGAATATTCCAACATGTCCGACAAATAAACGTACATTGCTGAAAATAAAGTGTCAAACGTTTGCTATTACCGTCATTCTACTGATTATTATCAAACACTGAAGTTGTGTTTAAAAGCACAGAATGTGAGGTCTTAGAGCTCACATATTCAATTTCAAAATTATTCAAAGTATGGCAACCTCATAAGTATATTGTATGTATGTCTTGTATAGTAATATCACTAGCTGTAAATTATTCAAAGAAATTATTTAGAATCATAGAAGTGTTTAATTCCTTAAAATATTTGAAAAACCTTACCTTTCACGTGTTCCGAGTTCTCTTAGTGTTCTTAACACTTCTGCTTTTAAATGTAACTATTGAAGAGCCTTCAAATTGAGGTAGTTTTAAAATTAAAATACATTAAAAAAATAAAAGTTAATTAAAGCTTATGAAGGTTGGTTTTGCTGAATACATTTGATTCAATCCATGTGTCATTAACAACCATCACAGTATTTCAAATTCATCATCATGTTATGCAATACTTGATGATTTCTGAATTTTCCCTGGAATAAGCTTTATTTTTTTTATACCTAGTAGTTGAGCCTCCTCATAAGAAGTGCATGCAAATTTATAGATAACAAACTACTACTTATTTTTAAGTATTACATCTCTGAAAAGAAAAAAAGACACATCATAATTATAGACCTAAAACAAAATTAATTTTAACTGTGGATAAACTCTGTCCAATGTCACAAGCTAACTTCTTTTTGGTATACTGTTAGTTGTCCTAAATAAGGTAACACTGTTACTACTGGTTTTCTTGGTATACCAAACATCAGTTACTTCGATACTACTAGGAATGTTCGGAACTCATCAAGTATTACATGTCTTAGAATGCAATATTCCCGTCATCATTGAAAACTTTCACCATAATGAATTGAGTTGATTATGAGAAGCAATTGCTCAAAAACAGTTTGATAGCTGTTTAACTAAAGCCTGGATTGAATCATCAGAATTAAACAATACCACTACTCTTAAGTGCTTCAGTTAACACCCAACCTGCAAATCAGGGAGACATGTTTGGTTGGTTGATTCCCAAGTGAAGTTTACTGGTACTCTCTTTTTTTTAATACAGAATAGAAATTTCAACTTCTTGCAATATCTGGAATCTGAATTGTCCAACAGAGTGGCCAAATTTCAGGGTATTAGGGAGTAAAAGCTATACCATAATCCAAAATCTCATGAAAAACATGGAAGTGATCACATATGGTAGGCAATACGAGATACGATTCCTCAGCTCTACAAGTTTCTCTGCGGTTTTTACAGATTTTATGGGCAGACATGGCCAAGAAAGGTTCAACAAATGTTACTTGCAGCTGTAAAGTGATTAAGTGTGGTACTTGCCTGAACATGATGGACATTTCTACTATTTTGTGTAGGAGGAACACAGACTTTCCAACCCTTTACAACCTGCATCTTCAAAACTGATTGCTATTGAGAGGCGAGTTCGTTTGGAAGTGCAATTGTTTTAGGTTAACAAATCAAAGCCCCTTTATTGGAGCAAATTTTTTTATTCTAATTCAAATACTGAAAACCATGACAGCCCTCTGTAGCCCACCCACTCCCCCAAATTTGGTCTCACTGGCTGGGTGTTAAAAAAAGCTGAAATAGCTTTGTTTTGCACAAATTTCCAAATAGATTTGTATAAAAATATTTTGCAATGTTTATTCCAACTACCACACAAAAATCAACTGAGTAGGAATGACGAAGAGATCATTAAAGAATTGTTTCTAATTTAGTAAATTCCAAAAAACATGTTTTAAACAGATTTGAAAATATCCCATTCCAGAGTAGCCTACCATTTTATCATTTGTTAAAAGTATTCCTAAAGTAAGTCAACAAAATCATATAGAGCATACCCCAACAAAAATAAAACAATGCCTGAACTACTTATACTGACAATTTCTATCTCTTAACTATGCTTAGACAAATTCCAATTAAACATGAACATTTCATGCACTAACGAATGGGAAACACACAGAGTACTGTGATTGGCATCATTTATTTCTAAGAAATTCCTAATTTAACATTAAGGAGCTAAGCAATATATTTTGTGAACTTCAAAAACAAAACATTTAGTTGTACTAAAATAATTATGATTAACAGTAAGTTAAAATTAAAAAAAGTATATTTTGGCTTTCTTTAATCCAAACTTAATTTATCATTATTATATTATTAGATTTCTTTTCTCAGAATCAAGTTTTATTTTAGCACCAACTAAGTAACAATCCTCAGAAAAAAAGTGTAACTGTGCCAAAACCAAATGACAATTCTCAGAATGTAGTATGTCACCGAATCTCTAAAATAGTACCTATCTGAAAAAAACTGATACCAAGTTGTATCTGGTATTGTTAGAACTGGAATTTTTTGTTCAATAACATATCCAAGATTTGCAAAAATCACCTTTGGGGAGATTTTTTTATATGCTAATTGAGTTGGGTTTTTTTCACATTTTTCTCAAAAACACTAAATACAAAATTTTCAGCTTGATAAGTCATGAATTATGATGAAACTGCCAAAATAGGTTGCATGTTTAGAAATTTGTAGAAAAAATAATTTTGGTCAAGTTTTGGGGTTACAGAATAAAAAGAACTTGTAGAAAGGAAATGCTGTAAGTAGTGGGAAAGCCTTTTTCTTCTTCATAGCTCTGCAGCAATCAAGAAGAACAACTTTTAAGTGCCAGAGGGCTGGTCCTGACTTTTCATAGTCTGGTTTTGTTGGCTGAAATAACCCATAAGAAGGCTGGTCTTGTGCAAATTCAGAGGCTTGTTAGATTCATTTTAAAAACTAGTTAACCTGCCAGATGCATTTTCCTTTTTTGGCATTAAGAGATGGCCATGGTTCATTTCAAAGCATAATGAAACCAGAGAAACTTTCTCATAAAGAACCAGACAGTAAAAACCAGAATTAAAAATTATAACGTTCTTTTGTTCATTTTAAAACCTGTTATTTAATTGCATTTAATTTAATTCACATGTTGTGAAGAGGGTTATGCAATGGCTAGCTGTATTTTAAGTATTTAATTAATAAAGATAAAAAATAGCATTACATCAAATACATATTTTGGTGGTAGCTACCCAACAGCAAAACATTGCAAACAAACAGTACACAAAATAAAAATCATGTTTAATTAAACTAAGTACACCAAATGAGCAAAGTTTGCTCAAGTCACCAAAATAACACCATCAAGGAGGTTCAAGCGATTAGTAATTGACCAAATTTTTAGAAAGAAGTTATGATAGTCTATAAGTATGCTAAGTACCACCACCATTGGATGTTACCTTCACACTTCACTTTTGGATTCCACACCAAATCCTGAAGATCTCATGTGGAATTGGTTATTTAGTGAATTTACATATATAAATTCCCAACAAAATGGATTTGGGATATTAGAGATTCAAACTCTTGTTCCAATAGCACTAAAAACACCTTGGTAACAATTTTATCCAGGATTAAGCCTACAATGACTATACTAATGAAGTCTAACTGAATCATAATTCACAGTTTCACTGTATCACCAACTACATAATATGTGTTACAAAAAAGTGTACCTATTGACATTCCTCAGAATGAAACCAGTGTCATAACAGTGACATTCCTCAGAATGAAACCAGTGTCATAACAGTGACATTCCTCAGAATGAAACCTGCATCACAACAGTGGCATTTATCACTAAGTAACGTTCAATACAAAAGTGTAACTGTGCAAAAAATCAAGTGACATTCCTCAGAATGGTGTTTAATTGTATTATAACAGGGGGACATTTTTCAAAATAAAGTTTAATTTATCACCAATTTATCAGAAATAAGTGTAGTTGTGCAACTTCATAATGAAGTCTAACAGTTATAATAACAATTGAACTATACTAAAAGCATGAGGCATTATTCTAAGTGAATTCCAAAATAACTACTAACAGGGGCACTACTCAGTATCTTCCAACGAAACAAAAACAAATTATCAATCAATCATGAAGATAAATCAGTGGAAGAGTACAATACCCACTTTTGGATGTTTTTTTGCTGTTCAAACGAAATATACAACTCCGTAACAAAACTTAAAATTGTTTCTTCAATCTGAATTCATCTCCCCTTAAACTTACATTAGAATCAGTAATATCTAACAGGTTTCAAACTTGTATTTCTTTGTGGTGAAAATGACAACTGATACAGCAACAAAGATGTTACAAGACCCTTAACAACAACAAAAACGCAGATAGACAGAGTTAGTCACATCTTCAAAACAGAATCAAGTTTCTTTTAAGTCCCAAGTCTTTATTTTAAGCAAAAAAAAATATATATATACAGGAGGGGGTTCAGCCAAAGCCCCTATTTTTGTGATGTAAAAAAAAATTATGCTTATATAGTTATAGTGCAGCTGCTTATGCTCTTTAAGTTTTTCTACATAGTCTACATTCTTCTGATGAAGCTTTTTGGGCTTGAATAGACATATGCCCCCAGACCACCATAGCAATAGCATGCTGATTGTGCTTTGTACAATATGTGTTGGCTTTTGATCTCACAAATTAGAGCCTCCCCTTTCAAACATTCTGTGTATGGGCCTGTATATACCAAATTGCACAAGAAGCCTTAATGTTAAGCCAAATGTAAGACAATTTCACCATGCTTCTGTACACAACCAATTCCAATAGTAAATCCTCTAAAGTTTGGTAAGCTTTTTAAATATTGCTCATATATCCCTCTAGGTACCAGACAGTAACAAATATATGAAGTAAGTTGAACCTTTATATCAAGATTTTGTTGATCTAATATAGTAGTTAATACACTATTAAGATATTATTTTAAGCATGTATAGTGACTAATGATTAATTATATATTAATTTCAGATAAAGGAAAAATAAAACTAATAAAAAGATTATATCCATAATGGCTTCAATCCTATAAAAGATTAATGTCTACAAATGCCAGTAAATTTTGGTATGTTCCCTAATCCATGCATTTGATGAGAACTATATATGAATTATAATATGAAAACTCATTTCTACAAAACAAAGAAGAAAAATAAAGCCCATCAAAGTTTAATGAAAACTAGTAATTTCAATACACTAAACATCTTCCAGACAATAAAATAACTTTTTGTTTGTTTGTTTGTTGTTAAGCACAAAGCTTCCCAATGGGCTATCTGTGCTCTGCCCACCACAGGTATTAAAAACCAATTTTTAGCATTATAAGCCCCGAGACTTATCAACGAGCCATTTGGGAGGACAATTTTGTTACAAGTTAAATTAGCAACATTTACTATGGAAATAAAACTTTTTTTTCTTTTATCTTAAACAGATAAAAGATAACCTAAATCAAACCATGAGGAAATTTCAGTACTGTACTTTTTGCTTTTATGGAATTCACACACTGTTATTTCAGTTTGTTCTCAGGCACTCGACATTGCACATGAAATGATAACACTAAAGGTAAATAACTAACAGCTGCTGTTCATCAAGAGGCACTCTAAACAAAACGTTTTGTATTGTAAGGTAAATCCCAGCCAAGCTGCTTACAAGGATACACTTAACAATCCACAATGACATCACACAGAATCCTGTTGAAAAAGTCCATCTTACATTAATGTACAAACACAATGGACAGGCAGGATTTAAATGGAGCATTAATCAATATTATCCATATTGAATTTCCTGAATTCACATGAGACAATATAAAAAACTTTCACATGTACATAATATGGCTAACTATTTATCAGAACCTACTAGTTACAGGTATTACTAATTATAACATGATATGAAATTATTTTTGTGCTTTTTCTGCTAGTAACCACCAGATGGCACAGATGGTAGGAAGTCCACTTTTCCAAAGCCATGAAAACATTCTAGCGAGGTAAAACATCCCAGTTAGAAAATACTTAGGTGTCACCTCCTCCAAATATTAAGAGTTCACTCAGTTTGTTGGCTGGAAAGAGCAGCATCACCACGGCAAATTGGACATGTTCGATTTGACTATGAATAAAAATGAAAGTAACCACCTCAATAAGTCTGATTATAAAGAGAAGCAAGCATAATACCATAATAAACTGTTTCATCACATGTCACCTTAATTTTTATCATTATCTTTTTTATATAGTCTCACTAACTTTATGACAAGTTAAAAAGTACAAACAACAGGTATGTAACTACTTAACTAGTATATAATAAAAACTTTTTTAGTTATTTGACACTAAAAGTAAACAAAGCGGATGATTTAAAAAAAATAAAAATCATAACATCTGTTTAGATGCAACAGACTTAATGACAAAATGTTCAAGCAACTGTATGAAACATACCTTCAGCCACTTGTCGACACAACGAGCATGGAACTCGTGACTGCAGGGTAAGACACGGAGGATCTGTCTTGCCTCAAAATCACACATACAGACAACACAGGAAGTTTGATCAGTCTCGTGTTTGTCAGAATCAAAACGATACGAAGGAAGCTGTTCAATTTCTGAACAGAAATAAAAAAGTCAATATGAGATGCAATAATTAATAAAAAAAATACACCATATCCATTTAACAACAAATCCTTTGTCACGTTCAACATGTTGTTAGCTCTTTCTTTTATTTTTTGGTTCAACATTAATTAACTAGTTCCACTCATACAGCTCACAAAATTTTAAAAGAACTTGGTTTATAAATCATATATATAGAAAAACTAATCTCTATATGCTATAAATACATGTATATCTATGAATCTCTATATTATTGACTCTTTTTGTATGTTATTAAGTATTCCTATCTTTACAAATTTAAAACTGATCTGTTCTTGTATTCTCGTACACAATATATTAACATCATAGATGGTTTTTGTTCCAAGGCTAAGCACTTCCTTACTATTTTGTAACTTTTTGCATTAGTCTTGACATAATTTTGATGTAATGGCTGTGATTAATGAAGTCATGTCACTATGTATGCTCCAATGATGTCATTTAAATCACTAATCCAACAACATACTTTGGATCATTTACCCAATGATGTCATTTAGATTACTTATCCAATGACACACTTTAGATCACTTACCCAATAATATACTTTAGATCACTTACCCAATGATATACTTTAGATTACTTACCCAGTTTACTTACTTTAGATTACTTAGTTTTTCTGTATGTGTGCTTGGAAATAATTGATCAGAATCATATTAAAGTTAGATATGTAATACTTGCTTCTAAACAACTAAGATACTTTTTTTTAATTTGGCTTAAGTTTAACTATCAAAAAATGCAAACTTTTACTTACAAGTGATTGAATTATAGAATGATTTCTCTAGTTATAAACCTGATAACATTATCAAGTGGTTACATAGCTGATGGATCTACTAGGTATGCCAAGAACTTAACAATAAAAAACTTACCACATTTAGGAAGGCCTTTAGGCTTAGCTTCACCTAACCTTTCAGCCAAATTGAGCAAGGCCTCATAATTTTCTGCTTCCGGAGATTCAGGATTTGTGATATCTGGGGCAAAAGCTGGCACTAAAGGATTGGAAAGCATTGCTCTGTCGAAGGATTTAAAAAGAAAATTAAATTCTTGAGTCTACATTTCTTAAATAAAATAAAAATCAAATTTAAACACTGATTCAGACACGCACATTTGTCATTCTTGCATCTTACCCAATTTTCTAGAGCTGGGTGATTCACTTGATTAATCAACATAATCAGTTACTTATGACCATCAATTAGTATCATGTAAAATAATGGAATAATCTAAATTACAATTAAATCAATTAATGTCACAAAAATAATCAACCAGTGTTTCCAGTTTCTGATTATTCCAACTATTCAGTCATTGAAAATATATTTAAATTGGTTTATGTAATGAAAACAATCAACTAATTGAAATTGGTGTATCTAATTATTAGTTTTCAAATATTCTAACTATTCAGTAATTGAACAACCAAAATTGCAATTGAATCTATTAATGTCCCAAAAATAAACAATTAATCAAAATGAGTGTTTGTACCTGTTTTCGCTTAAACCAAATGTCCAATAATAACCGAAATATTAGCATTATGATTTTTCATTATTTATTTAATTCAAGGTTCAACTTACGAAGATAATCAACTGATCAAATTAGGGTTTCTGATTATTACCATTTTTGATTATTCAAACTATCCAAGTAGTTAAAACATTGCTATTATGTTTGTTTGCTGTTAAGCACAAAGATACAAACAATATGGGCTAATTATGCTCTGCAAACTGAGGTTGTTGACATCTGAATTGTTGCATTAATGTATTTTATGTATAACTTAATACACATAATATTAGACAAAACATGTGTCACTTACACTATTAATTTATCATATTAGCAGATTGATCATAAGTACTAATGAAAGCTACTAAAAGATTAATATTTTTTCACTGTGTTATTGTACAGTAAAGCTGGTTATATACTGCTTAATGTAGACAACTATAACAAATTTATTCTTCAACTGTGATCTGCACCACTAATATTTAGCTGTAAACAAACTTGGGGAACCTACAATTAATTATTGTTGTATCACTAGTAATAACCAACTAAAATATGATTGGACTAACAATAACAATGCTTTTATACTTTCTCTCTGTTTTTAATTTCAGAAAGTAGGTAGGTAATTGTGTCAGATTTCATGAACGTATGAACGAAAGCAAAAAACGAATATCAAATAACATAACCACACTACTTCTGCCATATTCAGTGCCAATGAGGCCTTGATAACTCTTTGCTGTTAAAAAATTATTAAATTTTGCTATTAGATGATAATTTTTACATGATCACCAGAAGAAAATAAAGTTCTCACAAGATACACTTGCTTAGCTGTTAGATCATAATTCTATTCGGCATTTAAGTTAACAAAACTTTTTATGTTTTACAACATAATTAGTTTCAGTTAACAGATGATAATTTTTCTTTGTTGGGAATGAACTAATGTCTAATGTTGACCATTTGCTTGGTTGATGATATTTTTAAAACATTATACAGAAAAAAGAACACTGGTAAATCTAGGTCAATAACATGTTATTCTAAACTTTATTTTTCTTACAGGAAATGAAGAATAAAGCCTGAATGAGGTGACGGTGGTGCAGCGATTACAGCACTTCGCCATCTTCTGTTGTTGGCACGTCGGTTCTGATTTAACCTCCGACCATGCGAATACGATCCCTAAAATAAACATAAAACAGAAGTTAGGTTCATCATTATACTTCAGATAATTATTTTATATTTTACATTGTACACAACATAGTGCACTACTAATACCAACAAATGGTTGAAATTGTCTTTAATTGGCCTAACTTATGGACAACCACAAGTAAGATGTTTCATATGAACATTTTAATAGCAGAACAATATAAAAGGCTTAAAAAATTTTATTTCTGTGCAAAGTGCTTTTAATTTCAAGCAGGGAAAGCTATAACCTAAAATAAAATATTTAACAATTTAATCAGAACACAGAAGTAAATTTTACATAAAATCTTAAAAAGAAACTTACTTAACTATAAACCAGGGCATGTATATTTTATGTATATATTTCATACTTTGTACAAAGAAATTTAATCTTAATGCTTTTAATTTCTCATGTAGATTTTTGTTTTCTACCTTCAAACAATATCAAATATGCCTTACATAAAAAATATATATAATTGCTTGAGTTTAACATCAGTACATTGCTGGAAATCTTATAAGTTATCTCTGTTTTTATGAGTTATTGGTGGGTTAATCATCAACATTATCTTCAGTATCTTGACTTGAAACTGGTCTTGAACACACAAGTTGATTAGCTTCTTCTCTCCTATATCATCATACCAACTATCTTTTCATAGTTGAGAAAGCAGTAGATAAACACTGAGAAGTTAATAACAGCTATTCTTTGATGATTTCTCTTTCTCTATTTTTAAAATGCTTAGTGTATCTTACATATTCTCTATCACTTTTTTCTATGCATAAATGTTTTGTCACTTCTCTTTTACAATGAATATCACAAAGTTTTGTTGCATTTTAACTAACAACTCTCACCAAACAGAGAAAGTCAGGTTGAGGCTGGTAACCCTGTGCCTGGTCCTGCAGGAGGTGGGTTAGAGGTGGAGATGCAGTGAGAGAAGATCCATGGTGTCCTAATGGTGGAGAGAGACTTGGGTAAGGCGAAAGACGAGGTTCCATCACTAAATCTAACTCACTGTCTTGAACCTATGAGAAAAAGGTAATAAATTTAATCAATACAACCAAAAAATTACAATAAATTTATTGTTGCTTAACACAGATTTCAACCAATATGGTTGAAAGAATACATTTGAAACAACACAGAACAACAACTTGTTGATACACCAGTGTAAGATAATATGATACAACTGAAAGTTCTGCATCTAATGGTTTAGTTATTCTCAAATTACTGCTTGTTTGATGACTAATGTTAGTTGTCACAATATGGTATTTTGCATAAATTAATAAAAATTACTATGCTAATTACTTTTCCCAGAACACCTTCAACAAAATTTTCTGGTTTTTTCATGCTTCAAATTTGATAATAAAGTAAAAGTTCTCCATTTTTCATTCAGAAAATACAGTTTGTAAACTGGGTTAAATATTACACCGCAAGGTCCAAACCACAGCAGCTTCAGTCAGCCTAACTTATCAACAGCCATAAGTCATATTAATGTCATAAGGTTTTCATCACTGTTATTGCTGTACAATGTCTTAAGAATTACACATCTTTTCATAGCAAATAACTATGAATAAGTATAAGTCTCAAGCAGTGAGAAACTGTTAAATATGCACAATTTATTACTTATGAGAAAAGTTCATAAAAAAACATGTGAGTAGAAACATTCAGTAATATAATGAACTCTTTAACTCTAACATATTAACTCTTTAAACCCATAATCTTTTGTGCTTCTTGCCGAAAATATTTTCATGATTTCTTAATAATATTGCCATACCTTATAAAACTTCAATTTTCTTAAGCTTGTGGATAATAACATGGTTTGGATCAGTTTTCAGCCATAGAGCATAAATGTCACCAGATGCTTTCACCTTTCACTGTGCAATGGGTAAATCAAGATTTTTTTCAGCAGGATGATGGCAGCATCCACTGGGTTTAAGGAATTAATCACCAAAAATATACATTGGTTGTTTTTATTTAAAAAACAAATACCTGAGGCATGGCTTGAGATCCTTGGTACTGTTGACGTTGGCTAACAGGTGATGGCATAGGGTTGGCTTGTGGTTGTATGCAAGGAGCGGAATGGGCAGTAGGAGAATGGAGGAACAGAGGGTGATGATACTGCTGCACTGTAGACTGAGGAGGAGGAGGTGGATGGGTGGCATGCATTAATTGGTGACCTTGATTAAAACAGTTACAAGAAAACCCTGTTGGATCCATTTGGTGATGGCTGGTGGAAATAGGTGGAGCCGGATGGCCTGTATTTCCTCCAGGGAAAAAAGGTGGAGAAAATAGTTGAATATGACTGTTCCCATTTGAATTTCTATTACAGACTGGTACTTGAGTAGAAAATCCTGCAGCCATTGAACCCTGACCCTGTAAATATTTTAAGTTTAAGCTATTTTGCACATCAATTATATTTTACAACTGAAAATTGTGCAAAAATTCATTCTGAAGTTTTTAACTGATAAAAAAAATTAAAATTAGGTATCTAAGCCTTATGAGTGTTAGCAAATAAATTAGAAAATATGTCATTAACAAAAATTCTACATTAGACAAATTATACAGTAAAAATACCTTGTTTCAGAGTCAAGGGGTCTGTAACACAGTGACAAAATGTACTTGAAGACTTGATGAAAATTATTAAATTTAAACACCAATAAAAGCCTCAGATAGTTTGCTATTCAAAAAATAAATGAAATATATTTTTCAATGTCATCCAAAAATTCATGCAACTTCACCAGCAAATTAACAAAATAAAAAAATTTCCATTTTTACCTGAGATATATCAAACATATAATTTTGGTGTGGTTGCTGTCCCTGTGGTGGTGAACCTGATGGGGGGAGACCTGGATGGGGAAGGAGTCCCACCTGTGGATGATGGTGTTGCCCGTGTAGTGGTTGTCCAGACTGTGATGAAGCAGCTGGAGATTGAAATGGCCTATGTTCAGCTGAATGATTGTTGAAACTGTTAGTAGGTCTTTCTCGAAACCTACTCTTTCGTGTGTTAGGGCTATTAAAGAGAGAGAAAGATGACACAGTTTAACTATAAAAATGGATATTGTCTGGGTTTCTTGTTATTAAATATTTTCATTGATTTTTTTCCTGTCTCTCAGTTTTTCAGTAAACTGATTACAAATATTGCATGTAAGTCTATATCTCTACCACTTGAGACATATCAGTCCAAAATTAACATCATTCCTACATAAACATATATCCATTACTTTTAAAGACCTACAAAAAATACTAAAGTTTTAAGCTGTTTGGTTCAAAAATAACTTGAGACAGAACTAATTATGTATCTCCAAAATTACTGTTTCCATCTTTAAAAAATTCAAAGCATGGATTATCAATACATATATATTTCATAACATATTGTAACATCAACAACCTAACAGTACACTGATGATTACAGTTTACTTCTATGTAATCATCAACTGCTAACATAATTGTTTACTAAAAATAAAACACCAATTTATGAACAGGCGCAGGCTTAAAATAATAGGTTTAATAAAAAGATACAAAAGTTAGTTTGTACTCAGAAACCCTTAAAAGGAATCTTAATATGGTCACCATTGTTTCTGTTTACTATTTGCATATCAAAAAAACAACAGCTTTCTAACAGATTCAGTTTAAAGATTTATCTTTCATATAACTATCTTTACTCCAAAGATAGAATAATAATACTTCAGCAGGATTTGCTCAAACCTAAAATATTATTGTTATAAAAGAGCTTAAAACAAATCATTCAACAATTACGAGTCACTGTGAAGTCTTGTTATCAGTCAAAATTTGAAATTTAATGATCAAATTACACCATCATTTCTACTGATTGCATAGAACCTTCTTTTTATCTTCACAAGGACCAAAAAAAGCATCATAGACCCTCCCTATATTCAGACTTACCTGCTGAAGCTGCTTCTATTGTGTATAAGACTAACAATGCCATAAACGTGCAAGTTAATGAAATTTTTGAATAAAGCATTATTTTCTTTAATCAAACACTACAGGTTGAGAATCACAGATGTAGAACAATAAGCAAATGTTACTAAAAAGAATTAAACAATTTTCATTTTGGCCAGCTGATTCCCTTATTAAATTGAAAGTTTATAAGCTTTTTGGATCAAGAAGGCAAATTTGTTATTTCATCTCTCTACCATAACTCAGTAAGAGCTCAACCAAGCCAGTCATCTTGTTTAGTGTGTTAAACAACACACAACTGCTTTAGAACAAAACTACTGTTCTGTTGTCCCAACTTCAACTTAAACAGTACCAAGATTAAGTAGTTCCTAAAGAATGTCTAAATTACATTTTAACATCAACTAACTGCAATCCTGAAGTAGCTTTAACCTCATACAATAAAAAGTTACAATGCTTTGTTAAAAACATAATATTTGACCTCCTCAAAACAACATTTGCTTAGCAAAAATAAAGTTAGCTACATAGAATGTTTTGAGTCTTATCAACACAGCTAAGTCAGAGCTTATAACAGAACATTTTTAAAAGAACTATTTTAAGTAATTACATTTTTATACCAGAAAAAAAATGTCCCCTCTAAAAGTGAAAGGGAATAATGAAAGATTTTTTTGTAAAATTTCTCTGTTTACACCAAAGAGATATCCTTTGGTCAAACTGGCAACTAGTCTGAATCAATCACAGTACGTTCTTTTCCTAAGTCATACATGATATACAGCAATAATGTAATGCTAACAACCATGCTGTCCTTTTTGTGACTTCAGGGGATTGAAGACCATCTTGTTAGCTAGTTGGGCAGACATTCCACTTGATCTTGTTTGATCTCCGTGTCACGGAGAAGATCTATACGAGATAAATAGTATCAAACCTATATACGAAGATGTAGCCATCATAAGGAACCAAGAAAATGTCATTTTCAGGGCCTTTTTTGTTTTACACATAATTACTATGCTCTGGTTTCTGTTGAAGTGAAAAAAAATGCATAAAGCTTAATTTTGTAAATAAATTTTAATACAAGCATATGAAACTGAAACTACCGCAGTGCTCCAGGCAAGGGGCATACCAGTGTAAATTCCCAAAAATCATCCATTTAAAGCCTTAAATAATATTGAGAAGTTGTTTTACTGCTGAGGAAAACAAATATGGGTACTGCCACTAACAATAGTACAGTAATTAATAACTGCATTTTTGTAGCTTTCTGCAGTTTTGCAGAAAATCTGCACAGTTCACACAGTAGAGCTACAAAATAAGCAGTCTCTGCCAGAAATTTCTATTGGTGCACTTGTGAATGACCCAATTTTGTGTAAAAACATTAAACAAAAAGTTGTAATGTCATTATTTGTATTTATCATGACTACATCTGGTGGTTTAATTTGCTAAATTAATCCTGTGCCAAATTTCACCTTTTGAAATAATAAAATAATTCATAATTAGTTAATTTACTTTTTTTTAATCACAAAATGTTACTGCTGCACTTTGTAAGAAATTTAAAATTACTCCTGCTAACAGAATTCTAGGAGCAATTACTCTTTACAGAAACAAATTATCTGGAGCACTGCTATTCATTCACAGGAAAATTGGGATGAAAAGAAATTCAACTTGACACAGATGAGCAATCATTTTTATTGTAATGAATGTTGCATTCTTCCATTTTGTTTTAATTCTTGTGTAATAATAATATAAATTATACAAAAAAAAAATTATTAAAATTTTCTGCTGTGCACATCCTATAATAGATGTGTTACAAATGGTACAAAAACTTGTATGTATATATCTTCAACTGGCTATGTTGTTCAAACACAGATAGAATCCAACAAAATATTTTCAAAAATCTCTTTCAGACTCATTTATAAAAATATTAAATACATTTACAAAGACCAGATAATTTAAAACCCAGCTACATAAGTTATGATCAACTGACTAAAAAAAAAAGATTTTTAATACAAGTTTAATAAAATATAAAACAAGACTTTCAACTTAAAAACTTTATTATATATATTTTAATCCACAATATTAATACTGTTTGTTTGTTTAACACCACAAAGCTATACAACAGGCTTCCTGTGTGGTACCCACCCCAAGCTGTACCATTATAAGCCCTCATGTTTACCACTGAGCCTCATGGACAATATTAATACTGATAAAATATAGTAATTACAATAGTATGGAAAACTCTTTATCTCTACAGGTAGTATGTACAGTGTTTTGATCTGCTTTAAAAAGCCATTTAAAGTAAGTTGATCTTTTGAAAGAATTTTAACAAAGTTTAGCATTCTGTAGATTGTAAAAGGTTTCACTTTTCAAATGAAAATAAATCACACCTGTGTCGGCACCTTGGAGTGTTGCAACACTCGGGAAGAGTAAGATGACGCTGAGTGAAACTGTGTCTTCTCACTCTATCACTTGTCGATGCATGCTCCCAGTGATTATTTAGTAAAGAGGGCGATGCTGAGTTTGAAGCTACGTCAGCTACACCATGGGATACTCGCCGACGTTTTCTTGAGGGGCTTTCACTCTAGAAAGATCAACATCATTTAACTGCATTAACACTTTTTTATCCTCTCCTTACTTATAACATCAGGCATATATTAATGCCTATTGGCAGGCTAGCTTTCATAGACAAGCTAGATTTCTGTTTGTGTTTGGATAATTATACATCTATCTATGCAAGACTTCTAGTTTCAATAAAAAATCACTTGTCCACTACTTTAAAAATCAACTTTCATGAATGGCACAAACTATGAGTTAATTATTGGATTGTCAAATTGTTTTCCCATCCTAAAATTAACAAGCAAGAATAATTTTAACATATTTGCATGTAAAAGGTACACTAAAAAGTCTGTTTAATAAAAAATATATTTTATTGTAAACATAAAATTATAACTTTGCTTCTCTCTGAGCCACTACGGACATTAATGTGTATTGACAATTTTCAATCTCCTCAAGAAAGGAGTATTATACAAACTATATTTTTACTCCTGTGACTCCAAAAGCAAATCAAGTTGACTATAAACTGTCACATCTCCCTAATCAAGATTACTGTAACCAGTCACTTCTCCCTACTCAATATTACTGTAACCAGTCACTTCTCCCTACTCAAGATTACTGTAACCAGTCTCAAGCTAACTAAAACCAGTTACATGTCCTTCACAATCTGTGTGTAAGATGACCTCACAAATGAACAAATAGGAATATCTAAATAGATTGAAAACTACATATTTAACAAAGGAGTTTTGTATATAATCATTACAACACTTGTTCTTTTCCCAACTAATTCCCAACTATCTGCACTAGCCATCCCTAATTTAGCAGTGTAAGACTAGAGGGAAGGCAGTTAGTCATCACCACACACCGCCAACTCTTGGGCTACACTTTTACCAACGAATAGTCACATTATAATGTCCCCACTGGTGAAAGGGTGAGTAATGTTTGGTGGGACGGAGATTCGAATACGCAACCCTCAGATTGCGACTCAAGCGCCCTAACCACCTGGCCATGCTGGGTCGTATTATTACAACACTTGTTTTATTCCCAAATGGTTGAATATAGCTGGTTGACCACATGGTTAAGGAAATAATGCCAGTTTTGTATATAATTTTTACAACATTTGCTATATTTCCAACTGGTTGAGTATAGCTGGTTGACCTCATGATGAAAGAAATAATGACATTTTTGTATATAATCATTACAGCACTTGTTTAATTCCCAACTGGTTTAATGCAGCTGATTGACCTCATGATGAAGGAAATGTTTAAACAACCTAAAAAGTAAAAAAAAATTAAGCAAGACAGAACTTTGTGAAAATTTTTATTTTATCATATACCCATTAAAAGTAAACCAAATGAGATTCTACTATTCAAGGTATAGTAACAGTTGTCCAACTGGCTTAACTACTTTGTAGGTTGATTGAAAAAAAACTTGACAAAATCCTATTGCTTGAAGTGGTTCTCTATTTAGTAGAGTTTCGTTGATCTCTGTTCAGCTCAACTAAATAAAATGTTGGGGTATAACTTAAATTGTATATAATTAGATCGCATTCCATTGAGAATTTTAATACTTTTAGTCACACATGCTGCATTTTGTACTTTATTTCTTGTCTGCCACAAAAATATAACAATGCATTAGTGGAATGTAAACTATATTAGCCTACTTCATTCTTATTTAGTTATTTTTCTATTAAACAAATCTATATTCAGTTTCACACATTCAAGTTACGCATCAAGGAAAAATATGTTTATTAACTTTTATGTAAACAAATAGATGTGGTACCTAGGTGTATAACAAACACTAATGGATCTCTTATTACATTGTTCCTGATAAAATATCAGTTCCATAGCTTAACTAAAAATTAAATGTCATCATTGTTTTTAAAATAAATTTCAAATTATAATATACCAGGATCACCCATAAGGCTCTCTATTCATGTGTAATATCTTTAAATTACAAATATTACATTATGACTTGTTGCAAATGGTAACAATACAAATAACAAAAAATAAATAAACAGATAAACATCTCTACAAGATAAATTTCCTTTCAACATAACAACCTTGTCTAATGTTGATAAACATTTAGGTTTTAAATACTCTCACAAAATTCCTGTTCAACTTTGAAGTATCTGCTCAAAATGATTAAAGGATAATCATAATATCTAATATTACAGCTATGACAAGGTAAAACTACCTTATAAATAAAATATGTCAATCCCTCCCTTCAATTCATTGTTATGAAAACCAGCCATCTGATGATCAGTCATGTGACCTGAAATTACCGTTTATTTTGCCTTTGCTATACAAATATACTTACATAGTGATCTCACACAATCTTGTTTCATTTGTCACTTTGAAGTGAGTCACAGGGTTCAGAATACTCCAAATTGTTTATAAATATAAATAGCCATTTGAATGTTTTACTTCTGTGGAAAACCACTGAAGAAAGGAAAGCCTGCCAATTACAACAACCTGTTGCAAATTGGTTCCAAGTGTTTCAAAGTGTGATTAGCAGAATGTGGAATTGCTTCCAAACAAATAATACAGTTGTTCATTCAAACACCAGGGCCATCATCCATGACACAAACAGACAACAGCTGTCTGTCAATTTTGCCTCAGTTGGAAGACTGAATCAGATGCTCACAGTCACAACTAGATGCCATGTCAGTGTACGGTTACAAATAAATTTCACGAGGCCAGCCTGTGCATCAGATATTCAAAGAGATATATTCTGTTCATGGTAAGCCTAAATCTTGCACAAAACATCACATTCATAATGAAAGTACATAGAGTATAAGCACGAATAAGCATTGTTGGATGTGTCTACCTCTACATACATCCTGAGAAAGAGTGCTAGTAATGACACACACTATAAGAACCACATCCCAGAACCAATTATGCTGCAACATGCTAGTGTAATTGACTTTGACTGGATGATAACACCCACTCTCTTCCTGCTAAACTAGTTGATGCATTCTTTGGAGAAGAATCCTTTTAGTCATTTCATAATTTCTTATATCATGAAAAAAATTTTAATATTATCAAATAGTTACTCAAAACTTAGAAAACATTTACAAAACATAATTTTCTACATTCATACACACTCATTACATATGTCATCCTACTTTGAAGAAGCATTTCAAATATGAAGATTATGTGGGCAATAACCCAACAAAATTTATGATAGCAATATATCAACCTTACAATCAAAATATGAAAAAAATAAAGAAAATAAAAATGGTCTATTCAATTTTACAGAAGTATTATTTTTTTAATGCCTTGGTTTTGACACATGCAGTCCATAATTACTTAAACATTCTTAGTCTTAGGCTCCTTCACACATCAAAATGTTGTTCTTATTACTGTATGGTGGTGCTTTAATTTATTCTGGATAAATAAATATTAGTACTAACTACTTATATGGTAGTTTGATAAAGGTACTGCTTCCATTTTATTGATTTTCATTAAAGACACTTTAGCCTGCTGATTAATAACTGAAATGAATTTTTCAATTGGATAATACCTGAAAAAATCAATATAAATTTTAATATTAATTAAAGGATGAGATGAATGTTGAACTAAATTCAATAACTGAGAAATTGAGAAACTGTTTCAGATTGTTAAACTTTGTATCAAAAAATAAGTTTTTTCTCATAGGGCACGGGATTTTTTTTTTTTATATTTACAACTAAAAAGTAAACTGCCTTGCAAAAATAAAACGGGCAAAAGTCGTCACCAAAATTCCTCAACAGGGGGCGATTTTTGTTGCCAGTATTGAACACTATCTACTACTATCTATTGAACACTGTCATTTACCTATATGTTGACAATAAGCTTACACTTTTCATGAAGGTAAAACAAAAATATTATGAATATGTTCTTCCTACATATCTTTCAATAAATACACACCTACACTATATTCTTCAAATAAACCTGGGAACATAAAAGCTTAACCTTCAGAAAACGATGTTTTAGTTTTCGACTAGTTTTGCAGAGGGATTTGTAAAAGTTCACAACTATACACACACACACACAAACACAAAAAGGACAAGGAGCTCTGTGAAGTCTCTAGCTAGAAGTAAAACGTGTTTGGTGGGGAACCAGCAGAGCAGTATTTCAAGCTCCTTATACATCACAACCACCACTGTTCGACAGGTTTATTCTGCTCATACATCAAAGTATAAAGGCCTCGAAGCCGTGCCTGGCGTCCCCTATCACATTGTCGATTGTGGCATGCACAAAGAAACTCAATCAGGGACGGCGAGTCGAATACTGCCAGAGCTGAGGGTGGTTGCCGCGGGCGTTAACTTAATGCCGTTGTGCCGCTATGGTCGAGTGACGGCGACCAGAGCAACAAGGGAAGCTGGAGAAACTCGAGACTTCAGCCTCGACCTTAATCCCGGGGACTGCACAACCGAAAGAGACAAGTTAGCAGGGTGAAACCATACACAAAACACTCCAGGCACAGAAACCTAAGACCACAAACATGGTACCGTAACTTACTTGCCCACCGCCCTTTTCTGTAATCGGCTTTGAAACAATCATATAGAATGAAAAATTTCATGTTAAGACCTGAGCCTTATAGAGCACCGAAATCGTAACCGATAGGTTTGAGGATTGTTATTTCATTTACAGCTTGTGAAAACCTAAAGTTAGCATAGTATTACATAAAATACTTGAATTTTTTGTTTGTTTGAAATTTTACTGCTCGTAATATTTTGTTCATTACACTATCACTCAAATGACAAACACGTTATTAGTAAGCATACATATTTCATAAGTAAACTACACGTGACTGTAGTTAGGTCATTTTTAATTACAAGCATTAATTAATTTACAACATATTTTACAATTCATATAAAAATCTTGAAATTATGATACAAACACACAAGTAAACACAAAAATTATATTAAAAACAACCGTACTCTGACCTTTATTGTTAAATAATTCGTAAAATTAGAAATTAGGTACGGAATTATACAAGTACAAACAAAATATAAGAATATTCAACAATAATACTGCTTAA